CAGAGCTGTTACGTGCGGGGGCCACCTCTCTGCTCACAAGCTGAGCTGTGTTCCAGGACTTTACTGTATTAGAAGTGAGTCATTGCTGACGGTGAAAACACCACCGAAAAATGTGGGGGCATAGAGCAACGGCCGGAGCAAGAAGGCCCGACGGCTCCTGAAGTCAGGACTCCGCACGCGATCGGCCTCCAATCCCGGTGATCCCATCTCAGCATCGGTCTGCGATCCATCTGGTTTTCACCACCACGCTCACACTTACATCATCTCCCCCCTGACCTATTACGACCATCTTCCCCCACACTCATCTCCCTCAATTTCACTTTTATCCTGTTACCAGTATGAGTTCCAAAATGAAAATCAAACAGTATTAGTACCCTGCTTAAAACTCGCCCATAACCTAAGGGGACCAGAATCAAATTACGTTTACTTGTCCATCTTCTCTTCCACAAACAGTGGAATCCGTCACAGTGTTTGGGAAAACCTTGCTGAAAGATGCCTGTGACAATACCTCCGAAGGTCCACACTTCTGTCTTCCACTGGCACCATCTGGACAGACAAGACCAGAAGCGCCATGACCTGGCCTGCTGAACTCCAACGTCAAAGCCGTGTGTGACAGCAGCAGGACCAGGTGACGGTGGGCTGCTGATGTACGTGGACTCGGACCACGGCACTAGAAGAGACTAAGACTTCTTCTGGCCTCATGGTGACAGTAAAGGCAGCAGCATCGAAAGCTCTATGGCTTTTGTTGTCACTGCCAGTGTGGACAGAAGGCCTTGGGTTGTTTTCCCTCCTTGAAAACCGTCAGCCAGCACCCTCCTCACTGTTAACCGACTACGACCAGTACTTGCTCGAAATACATCCTTTATGCACCGGCAGCCTCTCAGGGGTCCACGGAGCTTTGACTGTGATGGGGTGGGGAGTGTTTAGAAAAATAAATGTTCCTTCTACTGAGCCATTACTTCTGATCTGTTAGCAGTGGGAACAGCGGCGTTTTTTCTTTTGTATAAGTGCCGTGCCGGCTTGCAAAGATTTACGGAAAATGTTCTGTGATATTGAGGACGCTACTTTGGGGATCCTGGTTCCTTCAGGACACGGCCTCTCACTCCCAGTATAAGTTGCTTGTCTTAAGAGGTACAGAAGAATATAGAATTTTTTAATCTTTAGAGTGGGAAGACACTAATTATGTGCTTTGCCTGCAAGCCACATCTAATATATATACGGTATAGTTAATATAATATTTATGCAATGTGTGTATAAGCACATGCATATGCATACCGTATATAACACATAGATATTATATACGCTGCATATAAATATTACACACACAGAGTGTCCTGTCATGAGCTGATACACACGGATGGACACAGCACCGCTGCCTGGCCTGCAGCTTTGAGAAGAGCTGTGGTGTGCAGGCTATGGCGCACTCCTCCTCTCTCCTCTCGTCCTCTCCCAACGCCGGCCGTGCTCCAAGGCTCAGGAAGCCTCGCCTTCTCCAGGAAGCTTTAACCATCGGCAGTTCTTCTATGACTCAAGTCCATTGACCTAAGCTTACTCCCAAAAGCAACAGTCACAGATACAGTGCTCACGTGCCACACACTCGGGCCAAATGAATCTGATGCTGTCCACAAAGCAGGTGCTCAAGAAAAGTCTGTTGGACACCAAGAGTGTGAACCGGAGCCATGCACCCGCTAGCGTGGCCCCCCGTCCCCGGCAGAAACCCAGGACCCCACGTCACCGTTCCCCACGCACTCCTCATGTCGGCACCTGTGCGCTCGTTTACCTTGTTCCTTCATCACAGCCGCTATTCTCAGACTCGTCCCCTGCTCTCCGCAGACTTTAGAGTCCTAACCCAGCATTCTAACTTCAGTGAGTTCTCTCCGATTCACTACGGCTGGAAGTTGACTCCTCTCTTCACTCTACAGGGTGCAGTTCCGGCTGCTGTTTCCAAGGTAACAGACCCTGCCTCCTACCGTAATCCTCTGTGTCCATCCTGACCTCTTAACTCATGGCAAGTTCCCTGAGGGGAGAGCCACTGCATCCTCCATAAAAGCTCCATCTTTGAAAGGAGAAAGCTCTGAAGAAAGGTATTTGTCTCTTGAATTTGTTGAATTAGCTAGTCCAGTCCACCCTGATTTATTCCTCTTCAGAGCACCTTGACCATTAGTATCTGTCACACAGTCTAGACTTGAAAGCTCTACAGTCTCTCACTAATTTCCAGAAGTTTATCACATCCCAACCAGACTGAACTTTTGCAGGGCAGGCCTGCTCCCACCTCAGGTTGCTGAGGTCCAAGAGCATGCTCAGTGGTGGGATGGCTGAAACGAAGAGATAAGCGCTCGTGTGTAAGAGGCGCTCCTTGGAAGGCTCTTTACGGCCATCAAATCTTTAAACAGAGTTCTCATTAAATGCATCTCATTAAATGCATCCGAGAAGCAGCAGCTCGGATGCAGCCAGGGGACGACAGTCCATCCCTAGGAAGCCCGTCTGGAAGTGAGGTCCCGCTGGTCACTCCTGACTGTGGAATAAGCAATTCTCCCCGAGACCTGCCTTGAGGAGCAGATGAAGAATCTAACATTCAGGATTATTCAGGATGAAAGACACCAAGAGAGAATCTGTTGCAACACCTCAGCTAACACAATGGTGGTGCTGTTCAACGTTTAGTTCTCATTAAATTTCCCACAGGGCAATTAGACTTCATAAAAACGCCTCTCGGGACCAGTGTATTTCTAATTGCTCATCTGCCCAGACAAGAAAATCCCTGCTAAACATTTCAAGTGCCAACCTTCCCCAGGCACTGCGATCTGTCACCTTCTCCCAGCTCCTGGGTGGCTTTTCTGCAGGTGACACTTCCCAAACCCCTTACTCAGCAGGGCCATGTCTTTTACTGACCGCGAGGAATTCGAATGAGTGGTTGGTGAAGTGCAGTAGTGTTTTCTTTTTTTTAAAAAAAACCCCTCACCTGTATTTTTAGTCTGCCTTATACAATGGGAGAGAAAATAAAAGTAAAACAATGTGGCTGCAATCCAAGCCTGGCACAGCCCACGAATGTTATCTGACATTTAATCCCCGTGGTGCCAGGTGATCACTCTGGCTAAGTCCATCAGAGAAATGGCCAGAACAGCGTGCTCATGTTCGAACACGCTCATCTATCTACACCTTATTGCAGAAACGTCAGGTACCCTCTGTAACAATCCCAGGCCACTTCACGGTGGACTTCTGGAGTAGCCACATATTCCAGAGGAACTCCGGTCAGCCCACTGACAGGAGAAAAAAAAGGAGGAGGAAGAACTGTGTTCCTCTGCTAAATTACCTACTAGGTGCAAGTACTCTAAGCTGCCTGGTTTGTGTTTACCATAAAACACTGCATTCTCAGGGGCTCTGTTCCTCCTGAACAAAGAAACAGAGCAAACGAACAAAAACTATCAGTAAGCAAAACAAAAGGCAACCACGAAGGCGGAGCTAATGGTGTTCTCTCCACTTTCCTTCTAAAGCTGAGGGTTTACGTCAAAGCTAAAATGTCCAAGCAGCTGACCCAGGCGCCTGCTGGTTGTGGACGTTCTGGGTCTAAATTGTAACGTGAGCTCCAGTCTTTCAGCAGGGGATACATTTTTTTAAAGATACGTCTTGAGAGAGTTCCTTTGCCATACTTTTTGTTTCCCAGATTTTAAAAATCCTCCAGCCTGGCCCAGTAGTGTGAAAGTCACCTTAACGAAGCAAGGCAAGAGGAAGCCACCGTGGACCTGGAATAGCAGGGGACCTCAGCTGTCATCCTCTGGCTCAGAACCAGGGTCTAAAACCAGCCTCGGGGGAAGCTGCTGAAGCGGAGCCTGCGATTCTCTCCGTGTCTGACTTGCACAATGTCGACATTATAACACCAGAGAGACCCAAAAACATTTCAAACAATTATGACTTCTCTCCTATAAATATTTTCACATTGCTTTAAGAGATAAAATAATGAGGCAGACTCTGCTGGCTGGCGTCCGCCACATCGAACAAACTGATCCCCTACAAAATGACATATTTTACCTTTCTTGTTTTCCTAGTTACCCTAGTCACCCTCAGTGGCTCCCTGCTAAGAACTTATTTTGGGCTCCAAGTTCAGGGAGGACACCTGCAGCACCACCGCTGCCCTGAAGCTGCGTTTCCCAACACCAGCTGAGGAGGGGGGTCAGCTGTTCTTAAAGCAACAGTGGAACTCGCAGTCCTAGCCTAGGAGAAGAAGATCGCTTCTCTCCTCTGTGGAAGCCAGGAAAAATGTCAAGCACTCAAGACAATCTTTTACAAAGACCCCCACCCCTCTGTGAGCACAGCTTTCTCTCTGGACAGGAAAATCTGTCTTCCCACTTCCTCTCATGACCCTTTCTTGTTCCAGTTATTTCTGCTCTCAGACCCGAGTTTGACCAGATTGAGACTTTTCCAGTAGGAAGAGGGGAGAGACAAGAAAGCACTGCAGAGATGGCCAAGGAAGCTCAGGATTTCTGAATATATTATTCACTATTTCAAGAGTCTCTGCCTTCAAACTTTGCCAAAAAGTAATTGCCCAGAAAAAAAGATGTGAAATTTATTTGAAACCTGCAGTTCCCACTGTCAGAGAATATGATTAAGAGCCCTTCATTCTGAGCTCTGCAGATAGGCTGTGACATCCTCCGTCACAGACGAGCTAGTGACCAGTAGGTTAATGACCTTTCAGGGTAATTTCCATATATTTCCCGGAGCCTGAGGACCAAGAAGCCCAGCTTGCCTTCACATCGACGCCCTCAGTGTGATACACAGCATTTATTTTTGATGTGAAAACACCAGATGCCAAAGCTGGCCACTGTGTTCCCTGTAAAACACCATCATAAAAGTCCTCCCAGTTTATGATTTGAAAGATCAGTTTCCTACTTGCTGCTACTTGAAACTTACACATTTTGATTAAATCGACCAACAAAACAGATTTCACAGAGAAAGCTCAGGGTTATTTCAAAACACTGTGGGTGGGACCCAAGAGCAGAACTCACCTTCACTCCCAGGAAAAGCATCACTTGAGCCCGCCACTGCCAAAGTCAACAGCAGCTTCCAGAGATCCATGCCTGGGGGACCTGCAACCACACAAAAAAGCACAAGATGAGGCCGACTACAAGCAAGCCATTATCATTTAGTGCAGTTTAAAAGCTCCATGTTTAAGCTGTCAATGAGCTGACATGCTTCTCAGTTCTAGGAGAAATCCCAGTCTGTCTTTCAATGCCCCAGAGTCTCCTACAGTCATACTTTTCACAAGGGCCAACAGCAGGTTATAAACAATTTTACTCCCGTGGGTGCTGGCCTCAGGAAACAACACGGACGATATACTCACGCCCTGGCCCACAGCCACAGAACCACCCACAACAAATGCCCCCCACGCACGGCCCCCATAATGGACCCGTGTGGTTCACTCTCGCTGGAACTGGAAAGAGAAACTTGTCAGCCGTATCTCCAAGCACGGGCCCTGAGCTGGACAGGCCATAAAAGGACAAATAAAACAACCTACTGTAATAGTAAAAGTCCTCCCACGTGTGTCCCAGTGAACGAAAGACTCCAGTTGGCCCTCAAATACTGAGCGAATAAGCCATCCAAGGGGACTCAGCTGGAGGGCAGCGGAGAGGGGAAGGTGAGAAGCAAGTGGCCCGCCTGGGATACCTGCTCTCCTCCTGGGTTTCTGAGTGGTTTCGGGAGGAATGCGAACACCTCGGGCTCACCAGGGTCAGCTCGCGCCTCTGGCCGCTTGGAATCCCAAGTGTGGCCACACCCCCAGCCCTTCAGTTTGATGCACCGGCGGCAGATCCGCATGCCTCAGCCGGCACTCACCTTTGCCTGGGGGAGGTACGCTTCTCTGGACTAAATGAACCCGGCGTCCACTTCCAAGATCTCTGAAGGGGCGAGTCCGGGCCGATTTAAAATGAACTCTGTGGACTCTCTGGAGAGCTGTTGCTACACCTGACAACTAACCGGTGCCAATGTTACCATCAAATCACACCCACAAGTCACTGGGGCGCCCTGGTCCGCACACCGGGGTCCCCACCCCCGAGCCTCAACGAGAATATTTGTTTTCCTGGGTAACAGAATGGGCTGGTCCCCAGGAATGGCCGTGACATTCTGAATAGGCATCAAATGTGTCAGGTTCTATATTTTCATTTCTAGACAGTGAATAACCCATTTTTAAAAGGTTTTATTTATTTATTTTCAGGGAGAGGGAAAGTGGGAGAGAAAGAGAGGGAGAGAAACATCAACTGGTGTGTTGCCTCTCACATGCGCCCCAACCAGGGAGCAGCCTGCAGCCCAGGCCATGTGCCCCGACCGGGAATCAGACTGGTGACGTTTCGCTTTGCAAGACGACACCCTACCCACTGAGCCACAGTCGGTCAGGGCACCCATCACTTTTTTGTTCCATATGATTTTCTGGTTTTAAAAAATTCTAAGCAACCACATGTCTACATAAACTGAATCTCTTCCTGTGTCTGATCCCCTCACACCTGGCCCCCGGGAGTCCCTGACAGACCAAGGGGATCATGCAGATGAACACACTTCACCAACTGTGAGACTTACGACGCCCACGGTTACATCCCTACTCTGGGAGGCTCCGCCTAAGGGCCACGCACCCTCCTCATCTGCTTGGCCAGTGGGAACCACTGAGCCTGTCTCCCTAGGTCCTCGGCTTCCAGGCCAGTAGTTGGAGGTCTGCGGGAGGAGCACATACAAAGGCTAAAAACAAACACGTTACGGGCCGAAAACACCATCCTATTTGTAACTGGACATTTCCTTGTCAATTTTATTTTTTGTGTATTTGTTTAAAACGTGAAAAGCTTTGAGGAGCTGACTCCGTAAGTTAATTTTACCAACTGTGCTTATCACACTTGGTGGCGGGTACAGAGCCTCCTGGCTGCTCGCTCCCTTGGCATCAGTAGCAACAGAACTTCTCTGCGTCCAGGCCGAGTTTTTGCTTCCTAATGGACTAGGGACATAAAGAAGCTTGCATGTCTCGGAAGGGTGCTTTCACTGGTTTGGAAGTCACCTCTCCAAAGGACATGGCAGATGACAGACACATGTGAATTTTGCTTCAGTTGGATAGCGGTTGACGCTTGCCCCAAGCTGTGGCCTGCAAATGAACTTCACTTCCCCCAAAGAAGCAACGTGTAACAGAGTGAAAGGCCTGCTCTGTGGCTCTAACTTACTTCTAGCCTGCATTTCTCCCTCTGCCTCCAGGTGAATAACTCCTCCGCCAGGTATGCTAGTTATCAGAGGAATTCTGCTTGAGGTTTGAGCTTTTGGCAAAGATTTGCAGAACCAGAGCAGGTCAGCTGGGAGGGCAAGGAACTGGGGAACAAACAGCTTTAGAGGTTCCACACTCTGCCTTGCCTCCCTCTTGGGCCTAGGTAACACATACCTCTTGCCCTGCCCCTCCTCCCTTCCCTTGACATAAAAGATGCCTGCATTCTGGGCTCTCTGCATCCCCCATCTTCTCAAGATGGCGCTGTCTCCATCAATAAACCCTTCCTTACGTCAAAGTCTGATATTTTGAATCTTGTCCTTTGAAGCGTCCAGCATACGAACTTAGAACCAGTAACAAACTGATTATCACAAGTCCCCTATGGGCCAAACAGATCTCCACAGAAAACATTCTGTTCCACAGAGCAAATACATTAGAATTCTCCAAGGCAAAATTAAACAGGAATCTGCCTGCGCACTCCTACAGCAAAAAAGGAAATAAAAGAAAGAGGTCTGTAAAACTGGTATTGTCCCAAACAGAAGACAGCACAGTTCACGGTCTCTGACCGAACTGCACAGGGAGCCAATGCCAATGCCCCACCGAGGCTGGGAGCAGAAGAGAGGACCAGGAGATGTGGCCGTTCAGGAAGGGCTGGGTGCTACAGTAGAGACTGGTGCTCTCCCCTTGCACTCTTGCAGGCTCGGGGAGGCCGGCAACTCCCAAAGCAGCTGGCGGCGCTTCCCCAGTGAGCCCCCTCGAGAGCCCCACTCAACCCAGAGCCCTGGGCACGCAGTTTGACTGCATTGTAAGCTGTCCCCTTCTGCCTGGCAGAGTTCCGTGTGGCGGCTTCCTGATGAGCGGATCCTTCTTTCTCAGGTTCTAAGTGAGACAGAGCATCCCTAGGAGAGGACAGAGGACAGCACATGGACTTCTGCACTCAAATGGAACCTACCAGTGACGTGGCAAACGTGAGCGGGACGAAGTCCCATTGTCCCCCTTCCCCAGTACCACAATCGAAGTAGAGGCAGGCACGGGCCAGAGGATTACACGACACTGTATGTCAGTCCATTGGGTTTTTTAAAGTTTGCAATAATTTTCTAGGGAAAAGCCCTGTCTCACTTTCTAACGACATCTACACATTCCTTGGCTGTAACCTCACAGCAAGCTGTGCACTTGCAGACGGCGGACAAGCCTCTACTCTTGCATTAATGCAACACCCGTCCCAGCCCCAGAGCCGAGGCACCGCCTGCTCCCCGCTCCCGCAAGGCAGAGCCAGTTGAAAGCGGCGCCATCCGGCTGGCCAGAGTCTTCATTCTGTGCACTGCCCGCCAGGGGAGCCTCCACATGAGTGAGGCCAGTGATACACTGACTTTCATTTCTTGGCTATAAAACAGTCCATAAACACATGAGAAGAAATGGAGATTAAATATCATACTATGCCAACTCGTTATAACCAAATCCAGGCAAAGAAAACGATTGGTCCAACTCTCTTTGATTTAAAATGAGCAAGTATTTGTTGAACCACGAGTGCCTGTTTGCATGGTGCAAGGCACAATGGAGAATACGTAGGCAATGAAAATCAGAGTTCCTGACTTCAGGGATTGGGCAAGAAAGGCCCATGTGATGGCGAAAGGAAGCATATCCACTACTTGTGGAAGGTCAGAGTCAGGCAGAATCAGCCACTGAAGGCACGGGCTTCAAATTAGAACCAAATGACAAATAAGGTTGTGATGGGTTAGAGAAAGGAGGAGGGCATGGGCGCACCTTTGTTATGCGTAAACCTCAGACAGTGCACGGGCTGGGGAGTGGGCCTGCCTTCCGACTAGTTCAGGGTCGCAGGCGGAGATGGCTGGCACGCCAGAGAACAAGGTTCGGGATTATGAATTCAGGGGAATGAAACTAGATCGCAACTCGTGTTCATCAGAAAGTCACTTCAAGCTTCGGTGTAGGTAAATCAAGTGCAAACATGAATTTTCTCAGCACAACTCTGCCCCTCCTGCCTTCTTAACTTAGTGTCACTGAGAAATACTGACAAGACCTGGCGATGACTGGGTATTGCGGGAGATGGTCGAGAGCTGTGTCTGTCCCAAATGGCTGGGCACAGAGCACAGGTGTGAATGGAAGCTGGGGCTGTCGACAGGAATCGGGAATTTGGGATCTGAGTCCTTAAGAAGGAGGAGAAGGTCACATGACTGTCTGGGACAGCTGGTGGCTGTACTACTGGTGGGAATGTCGGCCATGTCTAGTGGGAAATTGATGGTAGGAGACCAAAGACTGAAAGGCGGTCGTTACTGGATTTCAGAGATATCGATGCAGAGATGATGAGGAGCAGATGAATTTAATGTGAAGATCAGACTATTTCATGCAGAACCCCACATCCCCTGCATTAACAGTAGTAGCATTAAAAAGTACACAGGGAAGAAGGTGCTCATATCTGGTTTATAATTTGGCACAGATAAAATGAACCACAATGCTAAACTACCTCCACCCTCTGACTTGTAGCTAGTCTTTACAGGAAAATTGGTCAAAAGCTTCCCTACAAGTATGTTGCTAGCATATTCATATATGGGAGGAATAAAATGATAGACTTAGTTGCTTGTAGTCCTATTAAGGCAAAATACTAAATGGTAGCTGAGTCGACCAGAAATAATGTTTCCCTTAATTTTTGTTTTATTGATCTAGCTCTTCTGATACTGAAAATGAGCCGATAAAAAATGACCACAGAAGCAGAATTGTTATATTGCAAAACCAAGACTCCAGGTAGATGACCTCATCAATGTGTACTTTCTGATGCTGGTGTGGATTACTAATGAAATGTTGCAAAACTGAATCTCGTTGACTTTCTGATGAAGCTTT